TTATCTCTGGATGTAATGGATCCCAGTTCATATTCCTCACATATTTGTTTGTTTATTAAATTTATATATCACCCATCTAACTACTCTGGGAAGCTTATAATATAATCAAAGCACAAATATAAAAATATCTAAAAGGCCACTATAATTAACAAGAATTAAATAAAACAAGGAACCAAGTATATAAGCATTATAGAAGGGGGATCTTCTCCAGTGGTGGGTTGCTACCAGTTCGCCCCGGATTGGATGAACCGATAGTGGCGGTGGTGGGAGGCTCTGCCCACCCGCCTGGACGCTTCACGCACAAGCATGCACACACCCACAAGTGAACCGGTAGCGACGGGCTTTGAAACCTGCCTCTGATCTTCTCTCTTACCTATCAGCCACCTCCAGCATAAAATAAACCCATCTAGCCACAAGACAATTAGCAGCACCAGATTTTGAGGACCTTCTGGAAGGCCAAGAGGTTGAGGGTAGATATCACCTCTGGGGACAAGATGCTTTAAAGGCTAGGGGCCAACACAATAAAGCCCTGCTTTTAGATCCTACCAGCTAAAATTCTTTGACCTATGGCATGTCCCTTGTACTGACATAAATAGGGCAGGCCAAATCTCCTGGGGCAAGACAGTTCCTCAGGTAACTTAACCCCATGTCTGCTCTACACATATACCTAGAGAGATCAAATAGTATGATACTGCAGGATGATAATTGATGTACAGCTCAAAGGAATGTGCAAATTATTTGGAGTTATAATAGTTTCTTTTTGGATTGTTCCCCCTTTCTTTCTTTTTTACTTTAAATATGTCCAGACATAAAATGTTAAAATTGGAGATAAATAACCTGAAAAACCACCTGTGACCTAATTTTATGTAGTAGCTATATTGCAAATTGGTTGCAGGGTTTTTAACATTATTTATATAAAGTTTTTGTGACCAGATAAAATATTTAACAAGCTATTTCTACTAAAAATTCATCTTTCAACTACTTCTATTCCTGAGATTTTATTATAGGCTTGGTGGAATGTAAGTAGTTCCCATTTCTTCTCAACTTTTCTTTGATGATAGAAAAAGAGCATTTGAATTTGAAAGTAAAAGGCCCTAAAATGTTTGGCCTCAGCAGGAGATAACCATAATCAGTTTTTTCAGTCATTTCTGTCCAGGATATAGAATTATCCTACCTCCAACATTTTTTAGGCCTGCCTTTGTCAACAATCAAAGCCACAGGTAGAAAATGTGTACAATTTGATTGCCAGAAAAAAATATTAGAAAGTATATTCAAAACTATAAAGTTCTTCAAAATAGCTGACCAAAACTGGCTGGTTTACTCAAAATAATATCTTCACAGATTTTTCTTAATCATCTACAAGGAAAAAGATATATAAAGCCGTTTATGGCATGAGTCAAGCTATCTGAGGAACCACCTTATTCCATTGGGACCAGAGGTGGGTTTCAGCAGGTTTTGACCAGTTCTGGAGAACTGGTAGCAGAAATTTTGAGTAGTTCAGAGACCCAGTAGTAAAAATTCTGATTGGCCCCGCCCCCATCTATTCTCTGGCTCCCAAGTCCCAGCTGATCGGGAAGAAATGGGGATTTTGCAGCATCCTTCCCCTGGAGTGGGGTGGGAATGGAGATTTTACAGTATCCTTCCCCTGCCACAATCACCAAGCCATGCCACGCCCACCAAGCCACACCCACAGAACTGGTAATAAAAAATTTTGAAACCCACCACTAATTGGGACTAATTCTCCCTACTCATTCTAGAGAAAGGGGCCAACTTTGGATCCCACTGCTCAAAGAATTTTGGCTGGCAGGGTCCAAGAGAAGAGCCTTTTCTGCTGTGGCCCTGTGCAATGTTCTCCCATGTTCATCAGAGGTGAGAATTGCCCCTACTCCTGGCCTTCATGAAGAACCTAAAAAGCTGGTTCTGCTACCTGGCCTGTGGCCCCATTGACAGTCTGCTACATTGGGAGTGGCTGATGGGGTAGAGAAGATTCTGCCCATCATCTTGATTTTTAATTTAACTTTTTATTTATTCTAATTGTTTTAAGAACTTTTTAGCTTTTATTATATTGTAAGCCACCCAGAATTGCTGTATTAGTGATATGGGCAGCATACAAATTAAATAAATAAATATATAATAATTTAAACTTTCAAAATAATAAAGTAACATTTCTATTAAGAAAATTGATTATTATTTTATATAAAGACTGGTGATATAAAAACCATATTACTAATTTATAATATAAAACCATTATACCTATTTTTTCAATATATTCTAATAATAAAAATAAATAAATGTTATATTAAATTCCTCAGAAAGGAAAGTAAAAAGGCATATGCTTCCAAAAAGGAGGGGGGAAATCCTACATAAACAACAATAAAAAAAAAACCCACCTACAAATAGCAACAGCAATGGCACTTAGATTTATATACTGCCCCATAATGCTTTGCAGCAGGATTAGGATTAGGGTTAGGGCAGCACGAGTGTGCAAAGCTCTTTTTGTGCAAACAGTGGGTGCACATGCTTAACCATGCCCTTTCTCCCGCTACTGACACCACTGCTGCTGGTCTATGGACCCAGAAAGGTTGGGAACTACTGCTTTACAACAGTTTCTGAGTGGTTTACAACATCAGCCTATTGCTCCCAACAATCTGAGTCCTCATTTTACTGACCTCAGAAGGATGGAAGGTTGAGTGGAACTTGAGCCGGTCAAGATCAAACTGGTGGCAGTGGGCAGAGTCAGCCTACAATACTGCATACTAATCACTGTGCCACCAGAGTTCCTACTTTATTTTTGTATATGTGTTTGCAAGTGAGTGTGCATGCTTGTGTCTGTATGTATGTGCTTGTATCTATTTATCTATGTTGTGTATACTCACACAAACACATACACTCACAAAACAAGATAGATTAGATTAGAAACAGAGAGAGAGAGAGAGAGAGATTTATTATTTATTTATTTATTTATTTATTTATTTGTTCAATTTATATGCCGCCCTATACGCGCAAAAATGGAAAAACGAATTAATACCCACAGAAAATAAATTGATTTGAAAAATTACAGAATGTGCAGAGGCAGACCGGTTAACAAAATTACTTAAGAACCAAAAAGATTCTGATTATTACAAATGTTGGAATGTATGGTAGAACTGGGTGAAAGAAAAAAGAGGGAAATGAAATGGATTGTCTTAGTGGTATAGGCGCAGATCTGTGTATGTTAGTTGCCATAACCTTGTATGTATATATGTAAAATGCTGTATTTTTAAAAATGAAAATAAACTTTGTTTAAAAAAAATTATATGCCCCCCTTCTCCAGAGACTCAGGGCGGCTTACAATGCGTTAAGCAATAGCCTTCATACTTTTGTATATACCTGTTTAGTAGGGCTTTCGCCGCCCCCCCAAGCGGTGTTCTTTTTTATACAAAGTCAGCTTATTGCCCCCACAATCCAGGTCCTCATTTTACCTACCTTGAAAGGATGGAAGGCTGAGTCAACCTTGATACTGTAAGTACATGATTTTTTTCATTTTTTTTAAAGTTGTGATTAAATTTTTAAATGATAACCTAAACCTAGACCAGGGGTCTGCAACCTTAAACACTCAAAGAGCCACTTGGGCCCGTTTCCCCACAAAAACAAAACACCGGGAGCCACAAAACCTGGGTAGATGTGGCTGCGGGGTGTCATGTGACTGGGTGGGAGTGAGGGATCTTGAGTTGGCCACGCCCACCAGATATTTTCTTTTAAACAGGTCTCTCTCTCTCTCCCTCTCATCTCTTTCTCCCTCTCTCTCTCCCTCTCCCTCCCTCTCATCTCTTTCTCCCCCTCTCTCTCCCTCTCCCTCCCTCTCATCTTTCTCCCTCTCTCTCTCCCTCTCCCTCCCTCTTATCTCTTTCTCCCTCTCTCTTTCTTTCTCTCCTCTCTCTCATCTTTCTCCCTCTCTCTTTCTCCCTCTCTCATCTTTCCCCTCTCTCTCTCTTTCTCATCTTTCTCCCTCATCTCTCTCTCATCTTTCTTCCTCTCTTTCTTTCTCAATTCCCTCCCTCCCTTTCTCTCATCTCTCTTTTTCTTTTTCCCCCTCTCTCTTTCTCATCTCTGTCTCTCATTTCCTCCATGACCCTCACCAACCAGAATACTCAGGCTGACAGGACTTGCAGCAGGCTGCATCTGCTGGCATGAGTGGTATGGGTCAATTCCAGTGGCATGAGACGGTCCCTAAAGTAACCTGGAACCATGCCATGAAGGGCTTTAAAGGTGATCACCAAAACCTTGAATTGCACCCACAACCAGACTGGTATCCAGTGCAACTCTGGAGCAGTGGTGTTATAGAGGCTGTTTTGGGACTTCAAACTACTCATGCCGCTGGTCTCTGAAGGAGCTATAGCTTCTGAATGGTCTTCAATGGTCTTCAAGCTTCATTCCTCATGCTTCCCACAGCAGAATTGACACTGTAAGTCCGGCATGGTCACTAGATGTTTTGCATAGTGACTACATTGTTTAGTGATGGAACTGTCAATCTCAATTGTGATTATTAAGTGAGGACTGCCTATACTTCCATTCAGCCTTTCTAGATAATGTCATTTATAGATTTTTCATTTGTAGATTTTTTAGGATTTTTTTACAATAATTATAGATTCATTATTCCTAACTAGCCATTATTTTTATGTATGTCACAGATTGTTACTCTAAGTTTTAAAAATCTCAGAACACCAACCTATGGCATATATAATAATAAATGCTGATTGAGATAATATCCATAATTAATCCATGTTTTCCAGAAAAATACATTTCTGTCTGTCTTCATATATAATAATTATTCAAAATATCATATGCTCATTTTAAAAAAATCAGATTTAAATTTTCTACTCAGACCCACATATGTCTAAATGCTTTCAGTGCAGGAAAAGTATACAAATACATACTATAATTAATGTCCAACATTTGCCAGAATTATATTAGTTAAAAGCTCTCAGGTTGAGCCCACAATGGTACATATTCAATATTAATTGTTTCAATACATGCATGAATTTAATAAATTAGCCCAAAAATATGATAGGAACCCAGGAAAATTAAAACCAACATCTTTGTATGAAAGACATAATTTTTGTAGCATTAATGCTTTGCCCATAGACTTCAAGGTTTCTCATTTTAGTATCCTCTTTCATCACTGTAATGGATTTTGAAACTTTCTTATAAATTAAATTAGATATTTTCCTGAAGGGAAAAGAAACTAAAAGAACAAACTCTAACTACCTGATTAAGGATAATCAGTGGCACAGAATCTTATTTCTGTCTCCAATCTGGGGAAGATTGGAATGGAATGTCATATAAAATAATACCAAGGACAGATGGATGGTATCTTCAGCAAAAGTGGTATCTTCAGAAAAATATTCTACAATATTTCATTGCATATTCCCAAAGATCAACATTTCTATTTATTACGAAATTTAAAACTATTACCTCACTACCTAAGTATTAAGGAGTTAAATTAAGTTGTCTCTTGGTTAGTTCATAATATTGTCCCAATACCTGGATGAAATCCATATATCCTTGCAAAGCTTCACACCAAATATTTGCACAATAGCTCAAATATCTGTGTGGCTGATGGTTAAATTCCGGAAGACACCATAAATGTGAAGTCTGAAAGGCAAATAAAGGAACATTTTCTTCAGATTTATAAATGCAAACTTTAATCACCTCAGCTTACATGGAAAATATACATTTTTGCTTTAGTAGTACCAACCTATGAGCTATCAGGATTAAGGATATCTTTAATCCTTATCTTTTCATCTCCAGTAGTTAAAGTCTTCTCTGTGATATTAGTACAATAAATATGACTTTGTATATATAATTATGCTGACAGTTATTTCATTGGACCTCAATAGATCCACATTCTTCACTTCCATGGTTGTACAAGTGTACTTTTTTTTTTTTTAATTTGATTTATATGCTGTCCTTCTCCGGAGACTCAGGGCTGTTTACAATGCGTTAAGCAATAGCCTTCATACTTTTGTATATTTTATACAAAGTCAGCTTATTGCCCCCACAAACTGGTTCCTCAATTTACCTACCTTAGAAAGGATGGAAGGCTGAGTCAACCTTGTGCCTGGCAAGATTCGAACTTACTTTAATTGCAGACAGCTGGTGTTAAATTACAGGGCCTTGTCTACTTCTTGAGATACTCTGATAGGATATGTCATTTGGTCAAAATCTGACTACAATGACATCAGATACTTGAGAATACAGATAAATGATCAATACAAAACATCCTCAGCATATTAATTTGTCTTCCTCTGACCAGAGGTGGGTTTCAACAGGTTCTGACCAATTCTGGAGAACCGGTAGCAGAAATTTTGAGTAATTTGGAGAACCAGTAGTAAAAATTCTGACTGGCCCTGCCCCCATCTATTCTCTGCCTCCCAAATCCCAGTTGATCGGGAGGAAATAGGGATTTTGCAGTATCCTTCCACCAGAGTGGGGTGGGAATGGAGATTTTACAATATCGTTCCCCTGCCATGCCCACCAAGCCATGCCACGCCCACAGAACAGGTATTAAAAAAATTTGAAACCCACCACTGCCTGACATATCAGATCTGCCAATAAGACATACCAATTTGCCAATAAGAAGTTCTCATACTTTTCTACTTCTATTTACTTATGTATTAAAAAATGAATGAATAAGTTTATGCTTTTCTCTCAGAGGGTGCTGGACGAATTAATTAGCTAATAATGAAGATAAAAACCAGTGTATAACTAGCATAATCATCATAATTAAGATATCTCCTGAGGCTCCTTCAGTAAACTTCTGTTAACATATTTTAGTGAGTGAAAATGAAACAAAATGAAAAAAGATATATTAAATTGTTCAGACCCTGGTTTTACAGGTATTTGGAAGAAATACCAATTAAATCTCTATTTTTTGAAGACATACAGATACATGCACACATGTTTTGAGCTATAGTAGGTTTATAATTGGGGAGTTGAGGAGGGAGACAAGAATGAATTTTGCTTTGAAGAACCATCTGTCAAAACATTTGCAGAGAAAGAATATTATCAACTTCTAATTCGCTTATAATTAAAAGCATAATTTATATGCTTCTCTTGTACATGAACGCCCATAATGAATGAGTCCACATATTGAATCAAAGCAGGAAATTCTCTCTGGAATATATTTACATGTTTGACAAATAACTCAGCAGGGTATCCTTGATACAAAATGCTACCTTGTGATTAATCAAGTTGTACCCTTTGAAACAGTTTTGATTAGTCTTGCAAAGTTTCTTTTCTATGAACCATGAACAGAGAAATGAAATGTTCTTTTGATGAAAGCCTCAATATTTCACATGTCCTGTATCACACTAGTAAAGATGAGCTAGTACTAGTATTTAGCTTTTCAAAAGAGAGCCGTCATCACTTTAGTGATCCCATTATGATGAGACCTGAAAGCTTTCATATTTACTGAAAACTATTAATATGTAAAATTGGGTATGTTTATTCAGAGATTAAATTGCATTTAGCCTTGTCCTCCTTAGAAGGCTGCTAAGCCCCATTTGGATGAAGGCCCAGAAAAAAGACAGCTTTAAAAGCTGAAAGCCTTGTAAACAAAACTGAGATATTGGGGAACAAAGTCACCAATTTTATGATTGTCCACACCCTTCACAGCAGACACTTGGGAAAATATCATTAATTTAATTTAATTTAATTTAATTAATTCAATTTATATGCTGCCCCTCTCCGAAGACTCAGGGCGGCTCACAATACATTTTAAAAAATCATTATAAAAAACATTTAAAAATTAAAAACATTAAAAACATTAAAAATTCATTCACGCCATTCATGGCTGGATCTCACCAGATCACAAGAGGAAATATGTTAATACATCATTAACATATTTCCAAATTCCAATTGAAAGCACTAGCTCAAAAATATGGGATCCCTACCTTAAAATGACAGGCCTGTTCTAGCTAAATATTTCATTATGTGTGTGCAAATGCACACTTATAAATATAATTGTTTCATTGCATCTTGTGTCCTTGCCTAATTCCCCATTTAAAAGTGAATGCCTCTCCTTCCCATCTACCATTTCAGAGGGAGGGAAAACAAGTCTATACATCAAATTGGCAATCTCTCTTCCAAGTTTCAATTGCCACTGCCCTCTAAGCTAGAAAGCTTGGCTAGACTCCTTTTAATTCCAATTTAAAACCTTTCTTCTCTTAGAAAGCCCAGTCAATATCCCCCACTATCATCCAACATACCACCTGTGCATTAAGATCAGCTGGGAAGATCCTCCAGTGGGTCTGGCTCACAGCACAAGGCCTTTCTTGATGTTCTCTTTCACAGCATCGTAGGTTACCTTGGTGGGCTTTCCTTTGCAAAGGTGACAATAGACACAGAAAAATAAGACAATGGAGACTTTCAAGTTCTTTTGTTATTTACAGTGGGGCTATTGGCAACAAATATTTACAACACAGTCTGGGTGTTTACTTTACTTTACTTTACTTTTATTAGATTTCTATACCACCCTTCTCCAGGAGGACTCAGGGCGGTGTACAGCCATATTAAAACACACATAATTTACAAAATTTAAAAACCATTAAAATCAAAAATACAAAATTTAGCCCACAAATTAAAAGTTAACATACACCCATTTAAAATTCGTATTCATGTTAGGCCAGCCCGGCTTGTTGAAACAGGAGGGTCTTCAGGGCACGGTGAAAAGTGCGCAGGTCGGGGATCGTACACACATCTAGGGGCAGCTCATTCCAGAGGGCTGATGCCCCCAGAGAGAATGCTCTCTCCCTGGGTGTCGCCAGTCAACATTGTTTGGCCTGAGAGGAGGCCCTCTCTCTAGGAGCGAATTGGCCGATGGGAAGCTGTGAATGGCAGAAGGCAGTCTCGTATATACCCTGGTCCTGAGCCATGGAGCGCTTTAAAGGTGGTAACCAACACCTTGAATCATACCCGGAAGACCACTGGGAGCTAGTGCAGCTCGCGCAGGAGAGGTGTCACGTGGGTGCGACGAGTCGCCCTTATAATCACCCATGCAGCCGCATTCTGGACCAGTTGGAGCCTCCGAGTGCTCTTCAAGGGGAGCCCCATGTAGAGAGTGTTGCAGTAGTCCCATGTAGAGAGTAGTGTTGCAGAGCCCCATGTAGAGAGTGTTGCAGATGGGATGTGACGAGGGCATGAGTGACCGTGCGCAGGGCATCCCGGTCCAGAAAGGGATGCAACTGGCGTATCAGGCGAACCTGAAAGAAAGCTCCCCTGGCCACGGCCGTCATATGCTCTTTCATATCAGTGTTTATCAGTGTTAGGTTTTCTCCTAAATTCTCCTTATCTCTTCTGCTAGCTGCCTTCGTTTTTTCCATCTTTCCCTCCAATTGCTTTCCGCCCAATTCTGGACAGAACAAGCACAGAGGCTTCCGTAACAAGAAAGAGGATGAAAAGAAATGGATTGGATGTTACTGTAGTTTGCTTCTCCTTTGGGGAAGAATCTCTGTCAGAGTCTTCTATCAGCCTTTCCTCAGAAATCAGGCTTAGCCAACTGGGTCCCTCTTTCCTTGGGTAGATCTGGATTTCCAAGGAAGCTATCCTTGGATCTTTCTTTGCCTTCCTGATCAAGAACTGACAACTGCTTCACAGATAATTTTTCTCTACAATTTTTTTCTCCAGCAACTCCATACATTACATTTGTATAGACTCCTCTCCCCTCCTCTCCTTTCACCTATCCTCCCCTCCCCTCCCTCCTTCAAGTTTTAACTTGAAAGTTAAACATGGCAACATGTTCCTAAGGAAGGGTGTGTCCAACACCCATATGCCAAACCAGACCAAGGGGACTGCTGTATCAATATCTTATCACACCAGCCCTGGCTAGCATTACTGTCATTCAAGGCTAGAATGAACTGGCTTGTTTCCTTTTATTTCCTCCACTGGCTGGCTCATGCCAGCAGAGCTGCAGCGAGACCAGGCAAGCCACTCTAAATCCATACGCCACGGAAAACATGCTACTTATCAAACTTTTTTTGATTCCCCTCATTGTCTTGTGTTTAATAACAATTGAAGACCTGCTTTTATTGTCCTTTTTATTCACTGCATTCTGTTCCCTTAGGAGAAAGAAATAGAAGGAATCGTTCTGCTAAATATTTTATTTCATTTTTAATCCATAATAGTTAAAATATGAAAATATCATTGAGGACATAACAACTAAATTAAAAAGTGAGATTCAGCTATTTTAATACTTTCGTGCTGCATTCTTAGGTGTCATTGCCATAAATATTCTATCCTTTAAAATAGCTAAGAATAAGTTATATACTGTGTTTTTTTTTTTTTTGGTATTTAAAAATGAATGAAAACTCTATTAATAATTGAATGCAAGCTTACTTGAGATTAAATTATTAATGCTCAATAATTTTCTCATACCTTTAAAAATATGTACATCAGTGTTAACACAATGGCCACTCTGTACACACTGGGAATTGATCTTCTCTGTTAGTCTGAACAGATCCTGGGTGGAAGGTCTTTGAGCATTTTATACCTTTGATAAAAAAAAATTAATAATTTGTTCATTGCTTTATAGTACCAGAATGCCACCTAGAGGTAATCTAACAAAGAAATTCTTATTCTATATCAGGCACAAGGTTAAAATGATCACATTCTCAGGATCCTGCATGAAGGAATTATGAAGGAAATAAAAAAGGATTAAGGTTCAGGACAATATTTATGATCTGCAACTCTCTCTTTGCAAAATAACCACTATTCAAGGACGTCTGAAAAATTAAGTCCAATGCAAAGTAAACTAAATTAATCTGCCAAGCAGAATAGAGCTGCCCAAATTTTATATTTTCTGAATGTTAAAATGCTGGTCTAGATTTAAAATGATGCATAAATTTATTTTAAATTAAATCAATATATTATTATACAATTAATTAATTTGGGTGGCTTAGAAGCAGAAGAATAATTAAAACCACATCATTTAAAAAAAATCAATTATATATAACAGCAAAAATAAGATATAAAAAGATTAAGAATAAAACAAAAGAACCTCAAGATAGAGGGAGACAACAAACATTTAGCCTCATTTAACCCCTTTTGTAGGCTCACTATGGGATTTCCAGGATTGAGTGAAGAACCACATTTTCAAGGTTTTCTGGAAGGCTAACAGATGGGGCTCATTCATAATTCAGGAAAAATGATATGCGAGGGAAAGCTACATCACCTGAGTCCAACTCTTTTGCAGATAAGACATGGATAATACCTTTTCTGTAGACTAATGGGACAGGTAGATGTAACTGGGAATAAGTGGTTCTTCATATATCCTGGTTCCATGCCATGAAGGGCTCTAAAGGTCAAAAGCAACACCTTGAATTGTACTCAGAAGCAAAGTGGCCACCAATGCATGTGATGGAACAGAGGGTTTGCAGATTTAGAAATCCTTCCCCAGCCTCATTATTACAAAAGCTGCCTCAGCAGGTACTTAATAATATAATATAACATCACTTTTGGGATACTTCATTGCTGCAAAGTCATTTCTGTTGTCTAGTTTTTATTTATCTTATAAATCTTTTGGACTCTTGAATCTCAGAAAATCTCTGGATGCTTCCTTGCACTGTTCCCGTTTGGAGTCTTGGTCATTGTCTTATGAACTTGTCCTCTGTATTGACCTCTGAATTTTATTGCTAGTTCAGCCATAAATCTGACACTGAAATGGACAGTGCATAAAAGTCCTGATCCTAAAGTATGTGTATATATTTCTAGTAAGTAGCAGAATTTATCATTCTTGTTGTGAAACTTGACTTTGCCTGATGCTTTATTCCTTGTTTGGAAATTTGAATTTGACCTTCTCGTACGTGACTGTGTTTGGAAACTGTGTGGTCTCTTGGTCTAGCTGGATACTTCCCAAAGGCTTTCTATTCTGTAGCATTAGCATTCTGATGTAGGACACAGCTTGGGGAACCATCTGGCAGTCATCCAAAGTACATATTCTAGAACTTGCCTGTTCTATTAGCATGATTCCATGGTGGCCAAGCCAAGCCCAGGGGCTGAACAATGTTTGTGTGCCACAGGTGATGCCATTAATTCATGACCTTTCATTGCAAACAAGGGAATACAGAAGGTCTTTGTGCTTGCAGCACATAAGCAATGGGTAGCATAATTAGTGGTCTTGGAAATAATTGTTTTGTGTTGAGAATAGTAAAGCACAAGTAGAGCGATTACACAGTTATCTATTTTAGATCTATTTGCTTTTGTTTGGTTGACCTCTATTGCAAGAGGATGATTAATAATTAGCAACATATAGGAATGAATTAAATGTCAAAAATATAATTAAAAGATATGTATCTGTACAGTGCGCATTTTAACAAATTTCTCTAACATTGTTATAATCTAATCAAAATGTAAAAAGCAAACACAATTATTAATAAATATTCTGGTTCTGTGATATAGTAGTTAATTTATTAGATTAAGTAGGTGTAGGCCTTCCTGAGAGAACCATACATCTTTGCTGGTGACATAGGACTTAACAGTTCATAGATTATTCCTTTCTCTTATGATGCCAACAGTTATAAAACTCTGCAGGCTTTCATTTGGCAACCGTAACGGTTTCATTGCTGAATATAGTTTAGGGCTGGGATCATGAAAAATGCTGCTGCCACATACACACAACCACGTGATCAACCAAAGCAGGGTTTTACTGCTTGCATTCACAAAGGTGAATAATTCAACACATTATTTGTCTCTCTTATTTCAACTGTAAATAAATGGAATGTGTGTGTTGGGGTTCAGACAGTTAAACAATTATCACACAGTGGAAGTATCGAGACCGCCTTCTACCGCATAACTCCCAACGACCGGTAAGATCCCACAGAGTTGGTTTCCTCCGGGTCCCGTCAGCTAAAAATGCCAGCTGGCAGGCCCACGGGGGAGGGCCTTCTCTGTGACTGCCCCAGCTCTCTGGAACCAGTTACCTCCTGAAGTCTGGACCATCCCCACCCTATTGGCCTTCCGAAAAGCGGTGAAGACCTGGCTTTTCTGGCAGGCCTGGGGCCGTTGATTTCGCTCTTGCAATCCGGCGAGATCCAGCCATGAATGGTGTGAATGAGTTTTAATGTTTTAATGTTTTTAATTTTTAAATGTTTTTTATAATGATTTTAAATGCATTGTGAGCCACCCTGAGTCTTCAGAGAGGGGCAGCATACAAATTGAATTAATAAATAATAAATAAATAAATAAGTAGAAGACTTTCCACCCAAAATGTGTTGCTGAAGAATGAACTGAGGGCTTCGTTAGTAAACTGTTTACCAATGATTGCTTAATTAAGCACTGTTGACTGTACATCCTTGTAAAAACTGAAGCATACAGTTTATTGAAGGTGGGTCTTTGTAATATTTTTTGTTCAATTTGATTTGTTCTGAAACCAACAATAACTGCTTAGAGGGTTGAATGGGGACTCTGCTTAGAGGGTTGAATGGGGACCCCACCACCACACACACACCATTATAGTTTAATACGGAATCATCAAATAGGCCTGTGTGATGGATATGATTTATCATATATTTTTCTTAACTATTCTTCTATGATGGGTCTAAGAGATCCTCATTGTGCTCTGTGTATGCAAATATTTTATGTGAGTTAACTGACTTAACATGAAATAATAACACACTGTAACAAATAACTAAAGCTTAAAACAGAGAGATCTCTAAATTGAAGTTAATCCCATTTTAAACTCCTCTAAATACGTTTTCTAAAATATGTTTCAAAACTCTGCAGAGAGATTTTTGCATTTTGAATCTAACTGTCTCTCTAAAAGCTATTGAGTCTTACTACCTGGGGATTATATGGCCCATCTGCTGCTGGACATGACCTGGCTATCATACAATGTAAGCTTCAAAGCAATATGGGTGGAGATACATATTCTACTCACTCTGTTGAAAAACCAGTTTTTCTCTCTCTGTCATCTCAGTAAAGATGAAAGTCACATTCAAGCAAGGTCCCTCATGTTGGTGGGAATATAGAATTTTTTGGGAACTCTGCCTAGCAACCTCCCAATTCTATCCATAGCTCTCTCCTTTGGAATAAAGACTTTATGCCCTAAAGTGCAGCTATTTATTTGTTGATTAGATTTTTATTTTGCCTTTATATGAATTTTCATAGTACTCTTTCCTCTTCTTATTTTTTTTTACTAAAACAGTCCTCCAGGGGAAGGATTGATCTGGGAGTGAGTGATTAGCCTAAAGTCACCCAACCAGCTTTCATTTCTAAGACAGTCTCTTGGTTTCTAGTCTAGCACCTTAACCTCTATATCAAACTTTGATTAACAATACAGACCCCTTAATGCCTTTAAAGCTGAATAAGGCAAGGCTGTGAAGGATTTGTCCACAAATGTTTGATGGAATCTCTTAGCCATCCCCTATGTACCACCTTGCAAGACACCTGGATTTTCAACTAACACATTTTCAGTGCTTCACATTTCAATTCAAGATACTCCAAATTCAGAAATTCTATGCCTTTGGGCATGGTTTGCCTGGACAACAATAATGGGAATTGTTGAAATACATTCAATTGGCCTCTGTGTAGACAGGATCCAAGGTAAAAAATTTTTTTAGTAATATCCAAAAGGGACTTTATCACATTCTAATATAAACATAGATATGTTCAGAAATGTGTCAGCAGTGAGATCAGTTATATCTCATACAACGTATATACCGGTAGCTCATTCAATGTATAGGAAACATTATTAGTCAGAGTTTAAAGTTGGGTAATGTGTGTTTTCAAATATTTTCTTCTGATTTTTTTCATATCACTGCATTTCCTTATATTCACCCTCATGGCATAACAGGACAAGAAAAGGACAGGGGTGTACTAGAAGATCCAAATGGTAACTAAGTTATGAGCCAGATTTCACCTGCTACATCTGTAGCTGCAAATGTAAAAGAAATATAGAATTTTGCTAAATTTCTCTCTCCTCTCCCTGAGAAATTCAGTTAAATGAAATGATCCTCCTCTCAATTTTTCCCCTTTCTTTCCCTCAGTTTTTCTGCTATACAGGGAGAATTCTGACAGATTACTTGCATACAATTCTAGACCATCTCAAAGATGCTTTTCCAAAAGGCAACTGGACTTCGTTCTTCCTTGAAGACATTTTGCTTCTCATCTGAGAACATTTTTCTGTTCTGACTGAATGGTGGAGGATGGAAGGATTTAACATCTTCAAGGAAAAACTAAGTCCAGATGCCTTTTAAAAATCAACTTTGAGACAACCATGACCTGGAAAATTGAGAATGACTATAGACGATTCTAGATCATTGATTTTGTTTAAATAGATTTATTTTCACCTATTAATTCTCTAAATTGTTTCAGGAAATCTGGACTTGATTTTCTGTTTTCTAGTTCTTTTGTAAGACTTTAGCTCTCACCAGATGTTCTTTGGGGGAAAAAACAGTTCCGGGAAATAAAACAGAAACATGCATTCAGAGTCTAGAGCAGCCAGGACACATTGTGCTGGCCATAACTCATTTTTATTTTCCTAGCGTTTTAATC